GTACATTCATACAAAGAAATGTATGGATTTCCAATAAACTTATAAGATCTTTATTTTATCGGTTGAGATCCTAATCTTCATTGAGTGGAAAATAACTATAATAATTAAAACTATGTAACAAAATTAACAGGGCAAACAACATCTTTTATTTATTATCCTCTAATATCTATTACCCACAGCAAATTTAAGATGTTGCATAAATATACATACACATACCAACACACCCATATATATATATATATATATATATATATATATATATATATATATATATATATACAGTAGCGGCGCTAGGCGTCGGCGGTGTCGGCGGCCGCCGACGGCCTCGCGCCTGGGGGGGCCTCGCAAGAGGCCCGGAAAATTTTTTAATTATTTAAAATTCAGTTAATTTTCATACGGATGTGCAAGTAAAGAAGGTGATTAGTGGTTTACAGGCACAATTATTTTACTCTTTTATCTTTTATGGACAATATCTAATATCGTCTGTCAACACTATAGATTATTAAATCTAAACAACTTCGCGCGAGCTAATTCTCTGGTTGTTTATATCTGTGTATTTCTTACGTGAGCACAATGTAAATCATCGTTCTTTTTGGGAATACATACGAGTGGGAATCTTAACGTATCGAAACAGTAATTAAATATTCGAGGAATAAAAGTAATCAATGATCAATAAAAATTGATCAATGAGATAATAACAAAAACTGTTAATTTGAAACTAATCATTGTTTCACACCGTCAACACAAGCAATATATTTTTTTAATCATTCTATTGGGATGATAGTTCTTTCAAATAAAATTGATAACCTTTTAAACTTTTTTTGTATCTCCGAAACCGCTGAACCTGCCTTTGACAATTTATCAACACGAATCGAATGTTTTTTCAATCTTTTAAATCGGTTGATCCGCTCCGATGTCGTCGACAAAAAATTAATAACCCTTAAAAATACGACATTTTGACATTTCTGGACCAATTTTGAAAATTAAAAAACTAATCGAAAGTTTTCAGTTGGCGATCGTGCTGAACAGTTTTTCGTCAAGATCGACCGCACAGTTTCTTCGTAATTTATTGTAAAATCTTTTTTCAAAAATTATAGTCTCATCTAACATAAATTTTATGGAACTACGATAAATGATTAATTATAAAAACTCATTAAAATTTAGAATAATGAGACGAGCTTTTAGACCATGTGTACCTACTATGTGATGTGCGGGTTTGTGCACTCAAATTAGTATGATTATAGATTTTTTAAATCTAATTAATCACTTGCAGATTGCAAAATTTTGTCTAATTAGTTATTAAGTCGGTGATTTCCAACCATTTTTCTTTCATAATGATCGAAAAAATATAAAATTTGTTAATCAAACGGTTTGGCAAAAAAGAAACTTCTTCGGGTTAATTATTTAATTTTAGTGCTTTTCTAATAGCTGGAGAACAAACCATTTTTGCCGAAGAGTTTGTTTATTTTAACTTGTGTAATTTTTGTCTATTTCAATTGGTGTATTTATCTGATTAAAAATAAATCTCATATACAGTTATAGTAATCGCAAAAAATCGAAAACGAAAATTTTTATATATCCTTAAAGATTTCTGAACATTTTGGTAAATTTTCGTCGACGATTTCGCGAACATGGATCAACCCATTTGAAAAATTCAGAAAACATTTGACATGTATTGAAAGTAAAAAGACGTGCTGATTAGTTTTTGGCAAAGGCAGGATAAGCCGTTTTGAAGATACGGGGCAAAAAAAGCCAAACTGATTACATTTTTAGGAAGGCAGGTCTAGCAGTTTTGGAAATCTTGTAAAAAAGCACAACAAAAGCCATTTGGCATATGCACATCAAATTAGCAAATAAAGATTTTAATTAATATTGGGTTAAGTTAGACTGCAACGCGGCGTTTACGCGCTTCGATATTTCGTCTCTAAGCAGCAAACGCAATGTGATTGCTTTGAAAAAAAGTTCGAAATTTTCAACAAAATATCTCACTTTAAAAAAAGTCAATTTCTTTCACTTTTCAAATTTTTTAAAAATTTAATTTTTTTTCAAAGCTTTTCAAAAATTTAAATTACGGCACGAAAAGTTTCAGCAATTTGCCTTTAGGCGCGATGCCATGCACCACTAGTCAACTTGCAACTTGTAAAAAAGGGGGGCCTCGCAAACGAATTTCGCCGACGCCCACGAATGGTCTAGCGCCGCCACTGTATATATATATATATATATATATATATATATATATATATATCATAAATTTGTGTGTATGTGCATGTTATAAAAATAGGTTTATGTACCATATTCTGTGTACAATATCCCAAGATCATAAAGATAAAACCGTTCGTATAGACAATCCATAGTTGATAGGAGTATGTTGGGCGTCCCCTGCGGGAATTGCGAAAATATATGGGAGTCACAGGTGCAAGATGAGGATCAAGCAATTCTGGCTCTTGTCTCAATGGTGTCGTCATGACATCTCTGATGTTTATTGATGGTGATTGAAAAAGTTTAAGAGATGTTTTTATTTTAATATTTTCATGCGAGAATATGTATTAGGGCTCAACCGCACCGTATATATCACGCGCCGAGACGTAAGGACATATAACGCGGCTTAAATGTCGCACGCGAAATAAAAGATGAAATACATGTCACTTTGGGAAAATTGAGATTGTGATTGTCACAAAATATAATAAAATCTTTAATTCGATAGCATACCCCAATTTATTGTGTTGCTTTTTACACAGCTGTATGGCAGACTTTCTGCAAGTTCTACAAACTTTGTTACATGTTAGATGTTTTTGTTGAACAACAAACACATCTTTAACTTATGATCAGAATGAAATTCTTCAGCACGAAGTAGGATGATATAACGCACTTTTTCTAGAATTTGATTGTAAAATAATGACCAATAGCTATGGTATTATTTTTACTTCTTTTGGTAAAGAAAAAGCTTTTTTTTTTCATTAATTTCTCATAACAAATCTGAACCTTTGGTTCAATAAGGTTATTTGCTGTTGAGTACATGTTGCTTAGAAATTCCCCCACTGAAGAATTTCCTTATATAAATATATTGCTTGTCAATTTATTAGATTTTGCGGCCACTTTCTTTTCACTCTTCTGATGGGAACTTGTTTTTCCACATCTTTTATTAGTGTGTTTGGATGGTATTTGCTCTTTTGGTGATATTTCAAGCTTTATCCTTGATCACCTTTTGTGCATATTTGATGTTTAGATCTCGGTGAATTGTGTCGTTGGGGACATACTGGGGGGCGTTTACTATGGCTCGAAATATTTTTGTTTGTGCTTTTTGGATGGTTTCTATATTGGCCGTGCTCGCACATTGCCCACCCACAGCTCGATACCGTATGTCCACATTGATACTATTACTGCTTTTTATATGAGGATCTTGTTCTCATATGACATCTTAGTGCTTCTTCCAATTCACGCGAGTAGAGTTCACGAAATTTGTTTGTCTATTTTGTTAAGGTCTAAAGCCAAACTGGTCGTCAAGAATTATTGAAAGCTTTTCGTTTATTCTGCTTAGAATTATTTTCTCCGTTGTTTTTGAACGGGCATTAGACTGTTTGGTCTGTACGATGTAGCTTCAGTAGGTGATTTTCCTGGTTTAAGGATCATAACAATTTCATAAATTTTAAAACATTTCAGCCAATATATTGTTCTAAGTATTTTATTAAATATGTATGTCAATAGAACTATGCTTCTCTTGGACAGTTCTTTAATCATCTTGCATGAGGAAGAGTTACAGCATCGATTCATTCTTATTTAGTATAAATTTAATTATTGGATCTCAAAACTGGTACAACAAGCTTTTCTTCGCTACTATAAACACCAAAAGTGAAACAATTCATTTAACTTAAATATGGGTTTTAATTTGAAGATGTAGTAATCACTGCCATAAAATGTAAATGTATCGGTAGTGACTTGAATCGTGTTTTTTACAATTGTACAAACTAGTCTCGGGTTCGATCCCAACCTGGGCCAAGCTTGGTGTGAGGTAGAATGATTTCAAATTTCCACTTGAGGTTATAGTTCTCAACTATGATCTTAAGTGAAAGATTTTGGGCATAGCAGCATGTAAATATATGCTACAGCACTATTAGATATACATATATAATATATTCATTCTGCATATAAAAGGAAGGGTGGTTGATCGCTGAGTTGCCCTTTCAGGAAAAATATCTAGGTTAAGATCAGAAAAAATCAAAATACGTTATTCTGATTGTAGTTCAAATGAAACAAAACAGTTTGTTAAACCCAACCTTACTTCTATATTTGATCAGAGTATATCGAAATTTTATTCTAGCTAATACCATAGCTTCTAAAATTGTTTAAGCAAGCAAACATTGCCATTATACGAAATCTTTATATTTTTCAGCTGAATTATGTTTTACATATTTTACGTATTACGTATATCTTTGTTATTTTTGGCTTTATGGAAGTAAATTGGATTTTTCAAGAATACAGTACAGTACTCACATAACAGAAAAGAGCAGTTATAACAAATCTTACGATATCTCATAAATATGGCATTAATTTTCTCAATATACTAGAAGCCTTTTATCACAATTAAGAAACGTCCATATATTCTGTTCATTGATTTCTAATTTGCGTGTGCAATGGTGGGGATCAGGTGGTTTAATTTGTGGACTGTAATTGATTTATCCTGTCATCATAAAAAGTGATTAAAACTACTATTTAATTTGTGATATATATCCAAAACTCAATACTGCATCTTATTACTCTCATTCTTTTCGCTATATTCTACTGCTTATAAAGAATCAGCATCTATTTACATAAGAAAACATATATTATCTCCTACCCCCTTGGTTAAAAAATAGGCTGGTCAAATCTTGATCGTATAAGATTCATATGAGTAAAAACTAAAGAAATTAATTAATATTTTTGCGATTTACTAAATATTTTTAGTATTTATATGTCAGTATAAAATTATTATATAAAAATATTTTATTGTATTTTAATTTCAGATGTCAAGCTGGTACTGGACGTTGTATTGTTGATAAAGCTCACAGAAATCAATGTCAGGCATGTAGACTTAAAAAGTGCTTAACCTGTGGGATGAATAAAGACGGTAAGTTTTGTTTTTTAAAATTATTAAATTATAAAATCTTTATGAATTCAATTAATTAAATTGCAATAATTTATATGTTAGTAGTATGCATTTTATTAAATTAATTTGATCTAGTAATAATATTAAAAAATATTGGTTGGGCTCGTCCGGGAATTGAACCCGGGACCTCTCGCACCCGAAGCGAGAATCATACCCCTAGACCAACGAGCCGGTGTTTATCTAATTAAATAGACCGATTATTATACTTCACCGAACAATAAAATTAATAAAAAATTGCTAGTTCTTAATTTTTTTTACGAAGAGCTGCTTAAAATTTTGTATAGGATGTTCTGGAAAATTATTCTACAAATTTTAATTACTATTTAATTATTGTGATAATTATTATTATTTTTATATTTTTTACATTGTTACAATAAATTTTATTGATTCCGTATACCGCCAATTTAATATTTTTTTACAATGATAGTAATTCTCTACGAAAATAATTTAATTAAATGTAATGTAATTTTATATTTGGATCAATAATAATTGGTAATATTACTGCGCCGTCTATACTTTGTTTACATAATGAATTAATGAAAATGCACTTTATGAAAAATTACTGATTTCTATAAATAACTAAATACCGTGATGATGCATGAGCAAAAATGCATCAATATCTTTTGCGATCCACTTGTGTAAATATAAATTTTGAAATCTGCTACGCATGTTATTAAATGAAGTAATTGGTAATAAAATCCAATAGATGAGAGTATTTTTTGAGCTTTAACTAAATTACATGTTTTTATTGTCAATTTATTAATGTTATTTATTTATTATTACTTGACAATGACCAATCCAAACATTATATTAAACTTTTCGTAGAGTATGTCACAGTAATCGCAAAAAAATCAAAAATTATTTTTTTTGCAGTACTTTAGGTTTCATAAGTTTCTGAACATTGTGTCATAGCTTAGAAAAATAGATGATGTATGTGCGGATACAATTTTTCGTCAACGATTTTGAAAGTACGGATCAACCGATTTGAATGATTCATAAAACATCGATTTTTATTGACGTGAATTGAATTGGGTTGATTGGTTTTTCGCAAAGGCTAGCGGTTTTGATGATATGGGACAAAAAGTGCAAAAATGGCAGTTAAGTTTTTTAGAGAACAGAGTCTCTGGTTTGAATCATATAAAAAGCATTTCACTTGTATTAATGAATTGATGAAAATTTTGGGAAGACAGGTTTAGCAGTTTTAGAGATATAACAAAAAAAGTTAAGAATAACCCCTTTAGTATTCAAAAATGATTATTAGACACATGCTATTAAATTATTCGACATTTCATAGAGATTTCTCTGATTACAAATTTTGTTTACTTTTTTATTGATTTGGTAGGGTAGGGCGGGGCTAGTTGAGCAACTTTTTACTTAAACGGATGTAGCTCCTCAATGAAAAGTCTCAATAAATTGCTATACGGCTTATTGGATGTGTTGTTTATCGCTTAACAAAAGTGTTAATACTATTTTTTGGCAATAAGTAAAATTTAAAAGCCACAGCTGTTTAAATGCAAAAAGTCAAGTATGCTCAATGTACCCCATAGGTAGGGCAAGTTGAGCACTAAGAAATTATAATGAAATCGATTAGTGATGAAATAAAATTAGTTTTTAATAACCAGTTCTATATTTATAGTCTTTATTGACAAAGAGAAAACAAAGCTTATAGTAATTTTCTTTGAATAACTAATCAAAAGTAGAATCAACAAAACAATATCGTATCTTAGGAATTATTTTACCATTATATTCAGTATTTTTGTTTAAAACCATTATTTCTTTATATTAATACCCATAGACTTAGCTTAAATCTTAAAAACAATAATTAATTTCTGGGAGTTATTGGTAATTGTCTTAGTGACAGAAAAAGTTTAGCAACTATGCTCAACTAACCCCAACACGGAATTTCAAAATAAAAGTGAGTTTATAAAAAAACCGTGAGAATTATACCCAGAATCTCTGTGCATATCAAAAGTACTATAATTATATGTAAGAATAACATTTACCTGATTAAAAATAAATTACATTTGACTAAACCAGACAAAAACTTGTGATGAATTACTTTTTTACTTTTTGGTCTCAAAATAAACAAAACGCCCGTGAGCCTCACTCATTTGTCCAGCGGCCACTAGCGATCGCGGGATGTTTATTTCTTCCAAAGTTCTATCTTTTCGCCATATAATGCCTAAACAAACGGTGAATAGTTTTCGAGATATTTCGATTGCTCAACTTGCCCCTATGCTCAACTAGCCCCGCCCTACCCTACCAAGATTTATAATGTTTAGCCGTTAAACTATGACTTAAAAGGCTTCGCAGCGCGAGCGCTTTAAAAAAAATTAAAGTTGCAAAAAAAAAAACTCGAGAAAAAATCTATTTGTTCAAATTATAAACAAAATTTAAAGTATTTAAATATTTTAAATTACGGTACGGGAAGTAATTTACCTTAAACACGATTTGCACAACTAGTTTAATTTTTTTATCAAAAATTTTTCCAGTATGATTTGTATGTAAGTTTAAATGTAAAATGAAATGGATATCAAGTGACACATTAAATTCAATTTTATCTACAAAATCGAAGTAACTAAAGACCGACAAGCATTTAAATATCCCAATTTACATTTGGGTAGTTATTTAAAAGAAAGTATACATATGTTGATTAAAGATGATGACTTCGATCATAGATTTGTGTTTTTATAGAAGGTGTTTGGCATGTGCAGTGTTAAATAATCATTGTTGCGATTAATGTGGTTTCCTCGTGGACGTTTATGTAACCCAAAGGGATAGATAATAGCAAATGTATCATGCAAATCGATTCATTATTTCGTCTCGCGCTGTGCCGCCACGCGCTGCTCGGTTCACGCTCGGTTCGTCGTTGGCGGCTAGTAGGTGTAGTATTAGAAGTATCGAGGCAAAAGATCGATATTGAGTACTTTGAAAAGTATCTAATCAAAATAACGATGCCAAAAAAATATCGTGGCGAAAGTATCGATAGTACTCAATATCGAATTTTGAGTACTTTTCTTAAAAATCAAACATAAGTGCAAGAAAGATCTAAAACTCATTAAATATTATATCACAATATTAGAATGAATTCTATTGCTTGTAATTTAATGTGTTAAATCAGAATCATTTTCAATATTGTAAAATTTTAACAGTAATTTTTCAATACTAATTTCAAATTCTATAATTTTTCAAAAAAAGACAAGTTATAATAGTTGATTATTTTTGATTAAAACAATATAATAGTCTGATACTATGTTCAAAAAGCAATACTTTTTAAGTATTTTTAAGCACAATCATATTTTTAATATTTTTCAGTGCAAACAATTGCCACAAGAACCAAATTAATTTATTATTTTCTTAAAGTTTTTTGCCCACTATACTGAAGAAAGTATTCTTTAGTTTTGTTGTCATTCATTCAGAAAAGGTCAGTTGAAATCCGATTCCTAAAATATGTTCATAATGTGCACAAACTGAAAACGAGACATTTTAAGATTCACGTACCACAAAGAAAATATTGCTCTTCTGTTATTTTTTAAATTGTTTATTTAATTTTTAATTTACAAGTACTTTACTTCAACTTACAATTCACATACTTTTAGAAAGAAAAATAATAAAACGCATTGAAATCGATGAGTATTATTATTTGAAATAATTATATTTTGATTCTTTTTTACGCAAAATACTAATATATTGAAATTGATGAATATTATTATTTGAAATAATTATATTTCGATTCTTTTTTACGCAAAATACTAATATATTGAAATTGATGAATATTATTATTTGAAATAATCATACTTCGATTGTTGAATATGTTTTTATAAAACATTTTGGTACTTTAAAAAGGCGTTTCATTTTACAAAAGAGTAATAAATAAACATCTTTATTTATTAGTGTGGTCATATCCATTTTAGGTTTTTGAGCAATAAATTCTGAGACTAATGACCCTTCGGGATCATTTTTTGACACTTCTCTGAACAATTATGACCACCTAGAGAGACTATTGCATTGCATTCGGCAAAATGGTTGATTTTCATAGTTGGTCGATAAGTGGGGTTCATAGATTACGCTGTAGATTCTTTTTGAGTACTATCGACGTAAAAGATCGATATTGGCAAATATATCGAGCTAAAAAATCGATACCAAAAGTACTCACTATCGAGTATCGACCGCAAAGTATCGATATTTACTCAGTACTCGATATTTCGTTCTAACACTAACTGTAGGTGTAGGTGTCGTGTAGGTGAGCCTTCGCTCTCTCGGCGTCGTTCTCCCGCCGTCGGTCGACCGCTCGCGTACGCTCTCGCACCGATGCACACCGCCCGCGTGGTCGCCGACGGGCGCGCTAATGAGCGCACATGCAAATGGGGAGAGCGCGACTCCGACGTTGTTAAATCCTCTTTTTCTCTTAACGCCGACACGAAACAATGTTCACATCGCCTCTTAATCGACCCAATGCGTTCGTCAAACGGCTGTGAAAAACTCTCTTTACTGCTTTGATGTCTTTTTTATCCGCAAAGCTATTCTTTGTACCGCGTGCACATGTTCTTTTCGACGGTTCATCCAAAAAGCCAGGGGTGCGTGTGCTGTTTACTAAAATCACATCAATTCGACGTGATATAAATGCTTAACGTAGCATTAATATTCTCTAATCAGATGCATGCACATCAAGATTGTTTTATTGTGACACGAACATTCATTTGATTTGACAGAAATAGGGCAGATCGAAATAGATTGGTTTTGTATTAAAATTAATTTTAACAATTCGGTAAATTGGGAATCAAACAAATTGTATACATACTATTATTTTTACGAAAAGAAATTGTTTTTATAATATAATGATGATTGACGAATGACTTGGAAATAAGTAAATATAAAATTTTGCATATTTAATCCTATTTTGAATAAGCTTGTCAGTGTGCTCATTAATAATTCAGATGACTCTAGGTCATTAAACTATTTGGTTTTGATATTTTGTAAATATCATGTTCTGATTTTACCCAGAAGTTAATAATAAACGAATCGTACGTTTTTTTAGCTGTACAGAATGAAAGGCAGCCCCGGAACACAGCAACAATTCGGCCAGAGGCTTTGCACGATTTACACGGCGAACAAGGACGAGTTTTGCGAGAGGCGGCGGTTGCTGTTGGCGTTTTTGGGCAAGTATAACTTTATGCTTAAAAATTGTTTATTCGTTATGTATTTCTGTAATACTTTTAAGAGCTTAAGCAATTTGAACACTTCAAAATTCATATTGACAACATGGAAGGCCTATTAAATTTTTGGAAATGTTGAACCTGTTTTTGTCATGTAACGAAAAAGTGCGAAATATGAAAATACTTTATTTGTTTTACAAATTATAAAATTTTTGCTTTATCTGTAGAATAATACTCAGAAATTTTTCAGTAAAAATCTAAATATTTGCTGAAAAATATAATACGTTTAGATCGTTTGTTTTTATAATTTTCGCAATTTTTGTATGAATTTTCAGTGTTTTCTGATTGAATATACATAATAAAAAATAATAGATATTTTAAAAGAAATTGAACTTATTCAAAAATATTTATTATTTTGTTTGTATCTCTAGTTTATTCCGATTTGAAGTTCTATTTTTGTTTCAATTATTTAATATTTGCTTCTGAAATGGGATTTTCCTGCAATTTTCTACTGTCAAGCAACATTTCATTTAATATAGGGTAGTGCGGTGCACAAAGGTTCAATTTGACTTTGAGCAATTATATTGAGAAAACCAAACCAATTATATCCAACAAATAACACATGTCAAACAAACAACTATCTTTCTACGTTCAGTAAAATGCCAAATAGTAAAAATGTTTGCTATTTTTTATTTTATACACCTTTGCCAAAGTAAAGGTTCAGTTGATAACTATTTTTTGAGATATCGGTGGTGGACCTTTTCACTCGCGGACCTTTAAGCCCCGCTTTACCTTACTCATATTATATTCATAATGTATTAGTCATTATATTATAGTCCAACACACATTAATTAAAATGTATTTAAATTTTGCCAGACATGATTAAAATAGGTCAATGACATTCCTGAAGTCGATTTTACCATCGTTTTTTAATGAATAACACAAACTCAAATTTATATGTATATGGATATATAAATATATGTGTATGTGTACATGTCCAAGGACATAATGAATCAATAAATAGATTAATTGTTCCAGACGATGACACAGAAATGCAAACAATATCATCTGAATAAATAATTCGATCGTTTTCTTCTAATGGCTTTTTGCTTGAATGCTGTACTACCTTTGATTGACGTCGTAAAGTTAAAAAAATATTTAAATTTAAATACTCGATTTTTTTATATAAAATTCAATTACAAAAATATTTTCTTACTTTTACCTTATTGGGTAAAATTATATTTTTATAGGTCGTTAAATTCGCATTTTGAATGAACAAATCTTAATGAACGGCGATTATATTATACCTATGTGTTTAGTATTGATTGTGCTTAATTATTATAGATGAGTAAAGTTTTAAAATATTGCTTCAAGATTTGGATTGGAAAATGATTAAAAATTCGAATTTGTTATTGTAATATTTAGTTTTTTAGAATTTTAATTTTATATTATTAATTACATTTTTAATGAAAATTATTGGAAAATCTTGAAATATGTTCTGCAACAAATACGAACTCGTACAGGAGTGTCACTTACGCGGCAAACATTCTCGTAGCGAAAATGTTAAAATTATCTTTGTGGCTTTTTATTGTAACTAATACCTAATTAATACAGGTTATTCAAATATTGCAATGAATTTATATAGCTGTTGCTAATTACGGTTTATATGTTTTATTTTTATCTATTAAAATTTATATTTATTACACATAATTTTTATAGATATTTCTTTATTTCCTAATTTTATTTTTAAACTCAACAAGAAAGCGGAATAAAATGGGATTGCTAGGGGGTAAACAGATCCAATGTCTTATTGTCAATTTTAAAGGAATTTGACGAAATCATAGCTACATTGTTCAACCCATGTCAAATAAAAATTTTATTGGTACATTTTTTAACTTGCCGTAAGGTAAGTTATAGTAATCGCAAAAAATCAAAAATTAAAATTTTTATATATCTTTACGTTACAAAGGTTTCTGAATATTTTGACAATCCTTAGAAAAAATGAATGTATGTATGTGTGTGTATCTATGTATGTACGTGCGGATACAATTTTTTGTCGACGTTTTTGAGAACACGGATCGAATAATTTGAATGATTCAAAAAGCTATCGATTCCTATTAATAAGGAGACGTGCTGATTAGTGTTTGGCAAAGGAAGGTTCTGCCGTTCCATAGATACGGGACAAAAAGTGCCTAAAATAGTAATTAAATTTTTGTTAGAACGGAGCATCCGATTTGAATGATTTAAAAACATTTTCTTTGTATTAACGAAATTACTGGTGAAATTTTTGGGAAGGCAGGCATAAAAAACGTGAAAATCAATGCCATTTGGCGGACAAAAATAATCATTAGACATATGCACATCCAATTATCACATACTTTATAGATATTTATAAAATATAAAATATGTGATAATTGGATAATTCGATATGAAGATATTAATAAAAAGAACAAATCTTGTTTACAACGCGCGCTTCGATATTTTGTTTCTAAGCGTATCCGGATTGCTTTGAAAAAATGTTTAATATTTCAAATTCCAAAATATTTCAAAGTCTAAAAAAAAACAAATTTTTCAAAAAGGTCAATTTTTTTTTCAAAAAAGTCAACCGTAGTTCGCAACCTTCTTTAAAAACAAGAATTAATAAGATAATAATTTCCGTAATAAAATTCAATCTCCATATTATAATTTGTACCATCATTACGTTCAGTATTATATTATATATGGACTTGATCCGAGGATCTCTGGCGTGCAAGTGGGGCACTGAGCTACGTTTTTTACTTGTATTATAGTATGTGTATATTTATATATGTGAATTAATTACAACAAACTATTAATATTACCGGTAAAAATAAAAGACAACATTTCCACAGACCGCCTGCAAGCCTGGCCAGCATGAGCCTGCAGACGGGCCGATACAGCGCCACGAGTATATTGTCGCCTGCGATGTACTCGGCAAATTGCACGCGGGCGTCGCTCGCTCCGGAGCCGAGTCTATCCTCCGGTAGCTCATCCACGCCACCTCCCCGGAACGCTTTCGATAATCCGCCGACGCGATCGTCGAATGCTGATTTCGACGCCGACGGTAAGTTCATTTCATATATTATAATTCGATTTTAATTTGAATTGATGAGTCTTGAATTTGTATGTATTGTCCAAATTATTAATAAAAAGCAATATGCTTTTTTTAAATATGATTTATTGTCGACGTTTTGGAACTATGTAGTGTGTACGTTGCATCTTCAGGATGTCTGGACACATTAAATATATAGAATACATAGGTACAATAATTTTAAATTTACAGTAACATGCGTTTCTTTGCGTTCTTTATTCATATTCGAAACGTATGGAAGACGTATTAATTTTTTCTCAACACATATTCTTTTTCTTTTTAATAACAGATTAGTTGCCGGGTAAAAAAATCTTTGTCTAATTTGAATGACAAAAAATCATTTTATTTGTAATGACGAATTGAAGAACTGATTATATTTTTGGGAAGGCAGCCTCAGCGGTTTCGAAAATCCTATAAAAAAATAAACTAGTTGTGTATGGAATCGTGCTTTAAGGCAAATTGCTGTTATTATTTATTTAAAGTATATAAGTGAGCTTTAGAAATTTAGCCAGAATTAAAATTAAAATCTGAATTATATTCGATATACAAAAAAAAATTTAAAAAAATATTTTTTTGAAAAAAAAAATTTGAAATAATTTTTTTTCCAAAAGCATTTATTCAAACCAGTAGAAAGTTTTCTGAATCAATCAAATCGGATGCTTAGCTCTCTCAAAACCTGTTCTCCTATTTTTTGCTCAATTAGCTCGGTATCTCCAAAACGGTTCCGCTCTTCAATACGTCGATTTCTTTCTCCCGTATCTTCGGAATGGCTGGACCTGCCTTTGCCAAAAACTAATCAGCACATCTCCCTATCAATAGGAATCGAATGTTTTTTGAACAATTCAAATCAGTTGATCCGTGCGCCCGAAGACGTGGACGAAGAATTGTATCCATACATACATAAACACAAATATCCGAAAATGTTATGTACAGCTAATTTTTTTATATGAAAAAAGCGGGTTAAAATAGCCTCTCACATTTAGAAATTTGACCTTTTATTTTAAATTTTACGATATTTAACAAAAATTATGAAAATAAAATTGTTACTGCCTGGAATAAGTGCTAATTATTTTTAAATGAAAAAAAAATTGAACAAAATTTAATAATTAATTTGAAAGCTGAAAAATATAGATCCAACAAATATAAGACAAATATAACATATAATCTGATAATAAAGTTCTTAGTCAGTAACTTTGATTTAAAAAAAAGACTGATTTTTTTTGCATTTTTAAATAGTATTTGTTATTTTAAAATCTTATTAATTTTTTTAGTATACACCCCTCCCCCGTTCCGGATTAGCAGAACTAAAAATCACCTTCCAGGTTTTGATATGAAAAAATATGGTCACTTTATCTTAAGGCACGATGCCATGCACAACTAATGCACAATTATTACTTTTTTACATCTTGTTATCAAAGATTTAATAATATTTTAAAAACATGTTGTTTTCTTAAATATTTTTTGTTAGTGAGTAATATAAAGTAGTTAAAAATTTTAAGTAGCATTAATATACTGCAAAAATAAAAAAAAGTGCTACAGCTTTGATTTTGTTAAAAAGTGCTACAGCTTTGATTTTGTTAAAAAAAAGTAATAGAAAAAAAACAATGCAAGAAAAGATTTAGGTCGTCTTTTCACAAACTTAATAAATCTGAATCGTAATGATAGAATGATCTTACTTTATTGTACGCTCAGTGAATAAAATATACTCATTTTTGTGGGCGTATGAGGTATGTTTTAAGTTAGCAGCACCAAGTTGTTTAGTTTTTCTATCCCCAGTTAAATAAAACCAAAAACAATCTCTCAAATGTGATCCTAATCCGTCATTTCACTCCCAAATCTGAGAGCTTATCGTATGCAGTAGATACTCTTTTAGAAATGGGGATGATTTAGGGTGGATTTATTAACGTTCTTCATATATAACAATTCAGATTAAGAATATCATTTTAAGAACTGATTAAGAACATTTTTTCTTAAGTAAATTAGAATAATAAAAAATATTAGGATAAGCGTATCAAGTAATATTTTTCTGAACTCTTAATTCTTAATCATGTTTGATAGATAGTTGCAGCAGAAATACTAATTTTAAATATATATATATATATATATATATATATATGTATATATATATATATATATATATATATATATATATATGGGCTAGGGCGGTATTGGACGATAGGTCCAATTTGATTTTGAGCAATTGTATAAAACCAAACCAATTATATCACATCAAATAATACATTTCAAACAAACAACTATCTGACTATGTTCTGTAAAACTCCCAGCTTTTTCATTATTTTATAACAATGTTAGTTTTCATTTATTTATAAATATGTTATTTTTGCTGTTTTTTAAAAAAAATCTGGTCCCTTTTAGAGTCTTTTGAAGGGGCTAACAGGCCGCACATTTATTTTTAATTTTAAATGGATTTTACAAAATAATAGCTACATTATTCAACCAATGCAAAATATAAATTTTGCAGGTACATTTTTTCATGTATAATACTATAAATAACCTTGATGTAGTATTTCATAATAAATAATCATCAGAGTTGGAATATTTTTTTAACTCTTGTAAAATAGTTTTTTTACACTAATTTACTTTTTTCTTTACTATTTTTTATTGTTCACATCTTTGCTAGGCTACATTACTAGCTACATTATTCAACCAATGCAAAATATAAATTTTACAGATACATTTTTTTGTATATAATATTATAAATAACCTTGATGTGGTATTTCATAATAAATAATCATCAGAGTTGGAATATTTATTCAACTTTTGTAAAATAGTTTTTTTTACTTAATTTACTTTTTTCTTTACTATTTTTAATTGTTCACATCTTTGCTAGGGTAAAGCTTTAGTTAATCCATCTTACCGCACTTACGTGTTCATTTTTATGAAGGCTATATAAAAAGCTGTTGAATCTAACTTAAAATTAACAATACATTTAATAAAACAATTAAATAACGCATACTTAATAATTGTACTAAGGTCTCGTAAACCAAACAACAGTGCTCACAACAAAAAAAACTAACAACGAAAGAAAATACTTTTTTATTGATTTTCAAACTTTAAATTAACTTTTATATATTATTGTTAAAAAATTTCTAACTTTACTGGTATTTGAGATATCGGTGGTGGACCATTTTACTCGCGGACTTTTAAGCCCCACTCTACCCTATATATATATATATATATATATATATATATATATGTGTGTGTGTGTGTGTGTGTGTCTGTGTTTGTGTGTATTATGCATATATTTTTCTATAACACCCTGGCATTGAAACGGTAATCTTTTCAAACAACATGATCTACAAGAATAATAATTCAGAAGTCGATTCGATGATACCGCGTTCGTCTTTCTGTTTGCACAGATCGGCCGCCGCCGAATCGCGCCCCCGGTGCGAATTCCCCTGTGACCGAGGATTTCTTTTCGCCCCTTTAGCTTTTATTTTAAATGCAATCAATTTGTAATCCCCGGCACAGAAATGATAAAATTGATAGCCGGTGCCTGGCGGTTAGTAAATTACTGGATACATAAATCAAAAATACACAATGTTTTTTGTTTAGTGATAGATGTTTGTTTTATATACTTTTTGATCACAAATTTAGGACGTTATGCCAATATTTAATGTTGGTAAATGATAACTCATGAATTTTAAAGTGAGGTAGACTCTTTTTAACTGTAATAGTTATTAATTAATTTAATAATTATGGCACTCATATATGTACAGGGTGTCCCAGACTTTGATGTCAAGCTGAAACATGGTGATAATATGGTTCTTATCTGTTCTGTAAAAATTAAAAAAAATATATGTCACATCTTTTGCCAATTATGAACTTTTAAGTGCAATCTAGAGCTTTAGTGAATCTATGACCATTTTTCAGTTATGGAACACCCTCAAAAGGAGAACCCGCGCGTTGCTCGTCTCGGATTTTGATGAAACTTGGCACAATGGTAGATTTGATGCCCAAACTGACTCCGGTAAAATATTAGAGGCCTATGAAAAGCGGTTTAATTATAAAAATTAATTAAAGTTTGCATTGTAGCAGCGCGCGGCATGCATAGCTTGCGATGTTTTTCCTTATCAACAGCAGGTTGGCCGAGTGGCTATCGTCGTGGAATTCTAATTTTTGCTCCGGGGCTCAATTCCCGATTCAGATATATATTTTTTTATTTTTTTTTATTTGATATTTATAATTTCATGTGTAAATAATATCAAAATTTATTTGATTTTTCAATTAATTTTATATTTTTCGCTAAATATTCTATAATAAAGTCATCCGCAATACCGGTAAATTTTTATTTTGATATTACTTATGAAACTTACGATCATATAAAATGTTAAGTGATTCCTGAAACATTATAATTTTGTATTAATATCAGCAATAATACGGAAAAAAATAATCAGTGGCGTCGAAACCGTGTGGGCTTGAGCCTACCCACGTTTTTTGATGGGTGGGCTGAGCCTAAAAAAAACAACGAGCCCATCCATCAAAAATTTGCTTAATTGTATATATATTAATTAAATATATATGTATATATATATATATAAATATATATATATATATATATACTCAAAAATGACCATTTTAAGGACCACCCTAAATATATATATATATATATATATATATATTTTTGAATATTCTTGTATATATATATATATACAAAAAATGTTCACTAAATATGGTTTATTTTCTATATGTACATTAACAAAAAAATGGTTTTTCCTGGTGTGGCATGTATATCTTTTAATCTATCTATATCATCTATTTTAAATATAAAATTTAATTTATTTTTTAAACTTTGTAAAAAATATTTTAGATACTGATTAACAAAAATTGCTGACTGATGACACACAATTCGTGTCGAAACGTACAATATAAATAAATATTTTATTATTTATTTGTTTTCTTTTATTTCTACGATTCGTTAAAAATCAATATTCAAGATATGTCTCAACGTCGAACAAAAAATCTAAATCTTATATATATATATATATATATATGTGTGTGTGTGTATATGTATATATAAAATGACAAAAAAAAGTTCATAGAGTTTTTTCCGATAGACGACGTTAGTTGCATATAATTCAGAAAGCACCAACAGATCGCAGCGGCACCATTTGGAAGGTGACACATAGAGCATTATTATATAACCATCAAAATTGGACAGGGTGTTGGAAAGTTATCTGCGTTCGAAAAAGAAGAAAAATAAAAAAAAAGTTACAAAACAATATTCATTATTTATGTATAATTTAATATTTAGTGTACTTTCATTTATTACAGACGATAGTATAGATGTAACGAATGAGCCGTCGCAGTCACCTGTGCAGGAGCTGCGGGCGTCCAGCGGCTACCCGGTGTCCACCAGCGGGCTTCTGCAGCCGCTCTGCACGCCCGCCCAGGAAACGCTGTACGAGACCTCGGCGCGTTTACTATTTATGGCCGTGAAATGGGCGAAAAATCTGCCTTCGTTTGCCAGCCTCCCTTTTAGAGATCAGGTTAGATAATGCACTGATATATATCATCGTCATTGTGGTTTGTTAACTTTTTATATAAAGAAAAATCACGCAGGTCATATTATTGGAAGAATCTTGGGCGGAGTTGTTCTTACTGAATGCCGTGCAGTGGTGTCTGCCGATGGATCCGTCCTGCAGCACCCTTTTCAACGTCGCTGATCACACAGGCCTAACTGATCACGATCCTCTTAAACAATCACAGGTTCAATAGATATAATTATTAGTACATAAATATATAGATTATTGCATTATATTTAACGTCTTTAACGCCGCATACTGTTTACCGCAGCCAAAATACTGAATACACAATTTTTTTTAGTTTTTTTTATTTTCTAAACTATTTCAATGCATACTCTGACTTTATCTCGGAGATTTTTGCCTTTGTCGAATAAGTTTATATTTTCCAAAATATAAAAAATTATGGCAATATTGTTTTACCAATCCAATATTTATAAACATCTAGTGAAATTTTTCTGAATTGTTTTAAACTGTAAATTTCAAATTCGATATCTTTTTGTACTAATTTTAATGCATACGTGATTTACTGCTTTTCTATTTTTTATGATAAATACTAATACGTATTAGTACGATACGATATATATAGGGTAGGGCGGGGTTCAAAAGTCCAATTTATATTTTAGCAAAATAAATAACACTTTTCAAACAATCAACTATCTACTAAATCTGTTCAGTAAAATTTACAGCTAATTTGTAATTTACGGTTTTTGCCATTTTTCATAAACTTTTTACTTGGATGATGAAAATACAACTTTTGTTTAAAATACATATTTTATGGGCATACTTTTATAAAGATCGCACTGCGGATATAACTTTCATAAGGAACATTATGAGAAAAATTTATCATCAAAGTTAAAAACCATATTAATTTAATTTATCTTTCAAAAATTGCTTTTCTAACGAATTTTATAATTTTATTTACTAGTTTACACTAATGTAAATGTTTTCACTTTGGCAGCGTAAAGATTTAGGTGGTTCTTCTTACTTTCAACCGTATATAAGCTGTTCAAGAGGTTTTAGAAGTAAAACTGTTGAATCTAACATAAAAATAACAATGCGTCTTATAAAACAATAAAATAGCGCAAACTAAACAACCGTGCTCAAAAACAAAAAGACTAACAAAAAAAAATTAGTTACAAAGATCTCAATGGGGCCGGTTATTTCGTGGTAGCGAAGTCGCCTGATTTAAGGTAAAGGGCGGTTACACATTTCTTGTCCTCTACTTTCAAATATTGCTGATGAAAATTCCTAGCATTGTTTTTGAGATATTGGTGGTGCATCTTTTTACATGCGGACCTTTAAGCCCCGCTCTACGCTATATATATATGGTTATATATATATATATATATATATATATATATATCATCTCTATTTCAGATTGCGCAAGAAGTTCGCTATTTGAATGATACTTTGTGTCGTTTTAAAACGATGCTTGTGGATCCGGCGGAGTTTGCTTGTTTGAAGGCAATTGCTCTATTTCGATCCGAAACGAGAGGACTCAAAGATCCAGCACAAATAGAAAATTTACAAGATCAGGCACAAGTAAGCAAATGTACCTATTCAGCTTGTTAGTTCAGATAGATCTGTTAAAAATCGAATATTTCGAGGTCAGGCACAAGTAAGAAAATCATTTAAATAATGCTTACATCAAATATTCTGTTACTATTCGGTACTCGGCATAAAGACACCTTTTTAAAATTGCGAAAAAAAATAGTTTTAAATCTTCCTCTTGTATTTTTTTTTAAATCTAAAATTTTCTAATATATAAAATAAGTATATAACGATGATTGCTTAAGTGTTCATATGATTATTTAAGTCTCGGTATTCGGCCGAATAGTACAAATGGTGCCGAATTTTTCAAATAACAAAGAGTAACCGAATAGTTGTTGATAGTTGAATAATTATATAGTGCGTTTGTAAAATAACAACCTTGAATAGTGATTACATTAAAACGAATAAGTGTAGGCGCTAAAAACCTGCCGAAGTTGCCAAATATTCGGTATTCATGTATTTTTCCGAACATACTATTCTTTGCAAGCCTAATTTAAATCTTATTCAAGCAAAAAGGAAAGGAAAATAAGAAACAAACTAGTGTGCATGGCATCGTTCCTTAAGGCAAATTGCTGGAATTTCTCGTACCGTAATTTAAAATTTTTAAATGCTTTAAAATTTTTTGAGAAGTTTAATTTTTTTTCAAAGCAATGGCGTTGCGTAGCTGTTTAAGAAACGAAAATCAAAGCGCGTCGCAGTCTAATGGTTAAACATTACACATTTTGGCACGTACCCCATAGAAATGAAAACAAAATTTGTAATTATTATTGAAATCTCTATAAAATATCTGATAATTTGATATGCATATGTCTGATGATCACTTTTGACCGCCAAATAGCATTTTTTTTTTGTTTTTCTTTTTTGGATTTTTGAAAACGATTTTCCCAAAAATTCAACCAATTCTTCATTATATCAATATAAGTGATATGTTTTTTAAATCATTCAGTCGGACAACCCGTTCTCTCAAAAGTTCCAATTCTTGTTACTTTTTACCCCGTATCTTTGAAACGGCTAAACCTGCCTTTATCAAGAAGTAATCAGCAGTCTTTTGAATTATTCAAATTGGACACTCCGCTCTCTCAAAATTGCCATTTATTGTAATTTAAAATTTTGCCCCGTATCTTTGAAACGACTGGATCTGCCTCTGCCAAAAACTAATCAACACATTTTCCCATACACACAAACTATGTACACACACATACACCCCCCCACCCACACACACATACATCTGTTTTTTCTATGGTATGCCAAAATGTTGAGAAAACTTGAAACGTAAAGATATATAAAAAACATGTTTTTGATTTTTTGCGATTACTAGAACTTACATACGGGAAGTTAATACATCTAAGTCTGTTTTTACACGGTAGATTGGTTCCAGAAGAAGCCGTGTAAAAAAAACGTGTAAAAAAAGACATTGATCTTATACAAAAATGGGTGATTTGTTCCTAATCTCTAAAACCTATTAAAATTAGTGAAAAACAAGAATTTCACAAAATAATAACACGTTTCAATTGCTCTGACCAGTAAATTTTATTGTATGCACATAAAGGGAATTCCCCTAAATTAGTGCTATTCACATTTGCTTTGACCAGTAAAAATTGTTTGTACGCGCTAAAGGGGAATTCACTTAAATCTTTAAGCTAATGTTCGCAAACTATCGATACTATCGATGGTTTCAGACTTTTTTCTTTCATAAATACTTTTTTGTGATATGAACATACTTCGCAAAAATTAAATTTGACAAAAAAAAATTAAGCACATAAAATTTCAAATCGTGCTAAATGGAATAAAATCGTGTAAAAAAATATTCAATTTTCAAACCGTGTTATATCAAAACCGTGTACAAAAAGACCGTGTAAAACAGACTTAGGTGTAATCAAATAATAATTAAAACTTGCAGATACCGATAACCGACCCTTCACGGTCGTAATTTTGTCTCTAAAATATAATGTAATGTTGCTTTATATTTTGTAAAATTAAATTTCATTCTATCGATAATCTATTAATATTAATCTATCTATTACCAGGTAATGCTGTCTCAGCACGCTCGGTCGCAGTTGCCGGGTCAGCCCGCTCGCTTCGGGCGTTTGCTCCTCATGCTGCCGCTTCTGCGGATCGTTCCTTCGCACCGCATCGAGGCGATATTCTTCCAGCGCACCATCGGAAACACGCCCATGGAGAAAGTACTATGCGATATGTACAAGAATTAGTAGTACATAGTCAGCGAATTATATTTATTTTGATGTTAATTGCTGATAAACAATGCGATTAAATTTGCAAATGCAAATTGGCCAAAACGCGAAAGACAGCTGAAGAACCGATCAGCATCACACTGAAACATTTGGCCTCATGCATGTCGGTTAAGCGAACAATGAAGGATGCGATTTTAAATCGTATATTATTAATAAAAAATTGACAGAAGGCGTTAAGTAGGTTTACGTTAACGCAAAAAGCCAAACGTAAAACTATTCGGTTATTGATAAGTGGGAAATATGTCCGTGGACATAAATATATATTACTGGACGGAGCATTGGTAGTCAAAAAAGTGCTGAAAACATGTAAGTTTTCTCATTAATCACGCTTAATTGCATCTTATATGAGATGAGCAGTTCTAACCACTTGGACTGCACTCTTGGTTAATATAAAGAGCACATCGATTTCTAAAAATGACATCATTTAGTCTTTTTCCACTGGACTTGCGACAAAATGCGACTGTAAATATGAATAGATGCTAAATATAGGTAATTATTTTTATTTAATAATTTGTTTAATTGATTTTGTTGAAGTATTGATATACATACCGACGGTATGATACCGTTAAATTTATTTAAATAAACGATTTGATTTTGTAAATATTTCATGTGTATGAGTATGTATTCCGAATAAAAAATGAACGCTCTATAACTAATTTAGCATAAAAGTTGAAATTGATGATAATGCATAAAGGTATATGAATAAAATATAAGGTGTTTTTACTAATTTTCTGTGGTATTTTGTGAAATAAATGTAAGCTTTAAAGATTGTGGGATATTCTTTTGTTATATCATTTGTGTTTAGTATATTTCGTACATCTTGTGCGCTGTCCAGTAATATTGATCCGCTATAAACAAAATATTCCAATCATATTTTGATGTGCTAATCATATTATAATTCAAAATGTCTCTTTATTGTAATATATTATAAGATAAACTACCTAATTGTTATGAGCTACAGAATGTTCTCTAAACTATATTATGTAAATACAAAACGCATAACTAATAAGGTTTAAATTTTCTAAATAGATTTATTATTCATGTTTAAGAAATTTTTTCTGATATATCGCATTTTAAATTGCATTTATCAAAAATTTCATATTTGGTCTAGTCAGAGATCTTTATATAACCTGTAAATAAATCTCATTTTGTCTTCTATAATAAAATATAATTCCGAGGAAATTTATTTGTAGTAAATGATAGGTGTGCAAATAAGTTTTTGAAATTTAACAAAAAATATATGAAAGGCGTGAAAAATCATATTAACTTAGAATAAAGAATTTTCATTATTACTTGTTTCATCCTTGCCTCATCCGAATAGAAATTTATTCGGGTATTTTGAAAAATATAATAAGTAATTTGTTTTTTGTTTTCACTTTTCTACTTTAATTTTTAGGACGTGGTATCAGGATGAAGTTCGGGATGCAAGGTAATGGTTTTAATTATAACACTTTTTTTATAGTAATTTAATCGTTTATAAACAAAATAACAACAACCTATTTGCATTCCTACATTATATAAACATATATACATTATATACATACATATATATATATATATATATATATATATATATATATATATATATATATATATATATATATATATATTACTTATATATATATATATATATATTTATATGTGTGCGTGTATGTATATATATATATAAATATATATATATATATATGTGTGTATATTTATATATATATATAGAGCTCGTTTGGGTGCATAAGCGTACATGTTTTCTTGGAATAAAAATAAATAAATAATACTGAATGTACAATGTTTAATTATATTTTTTCACTTAATTTATTGGATACGTTTTGAGCTTTACTTTAACAAAAACTTTTGTAAATTGTATGTTATTAAATAGTGAAAGAAGAAAATACTATCGTGCATAAGCGTTGTTGAAGAATGTCTAGAATAATCAATAACTATTATTAAAATTATTTATTATTGGAAAATATATAAATATTTGTAATTCTTAATGATAAATTATAAACTAATGTATATATAACACATAAATTGAATTACTAGAAATTAGCGGCGGCGTTAGGCATCAATATTTGCCTTCGGGGTTGCGGCGAGAGCAAAGTTTATGTATTATATAAAATTTTTGTAATTTTGGTCATATTTTTTTTAATTAATTATAAATTTCATTTACTCATACAATAGTTTAACTATAGTTCATCTAATGTAATTGAACGGGAAATCTCCCAAACCTTTAATTTTGCCGACGCCAACGCATAGTCTAGCGCCGCCACTTCTAAAAATCAAATAAAAAATAAGTGCTTGCATATTGATAACAGTTGTAAATAATTTAGCATGTCTTTTAAAGGTTAAGACTAACTATATTGGACGAGATTTTACTTAGAATTTAGGCCAAAATGTAATGTCCTATGTCAAAAACAATACAATGTCTTCTATCACTCTGGCATCTCATCTAATTCTATAATTTATCATTCAATTCATTCAGCTTCAGTTTTAATTTTTGCAATTTGTGCACCCTAATGGACATGGCGGATTTTCTTTCTATTAACATATTATTTTTTTGCTTCATTTTATATACTACCAATTTTTTATCATGAGTCTTCAAGTGGTCTAAAATCCAGACCAGATGTCAACCAGATTTTATCATTGACTTCTGATTGTCTCTTCTTAAGCTGAGTTTATCTTTAAATGAAAAACCTGAGTAATAATTATGAGACACAAAAGTTGTAAAGCATTTCTCCTAACATGAAATATAACCTGGTTCTTATTTATGTTTAATAATTCACTTTCTAGAACTAAAATATTTCTTCACTTGTGCTGATAGACGAAGGAAAATCCTTCCGAAGTGTGAAAAAAACATCGTTTGAATTGACTTTAGTCTTCTTAGGTTAAGAGCCATATATCCGCAGTACAAAGTTATTTATTATATATATATATATATATATATATATATATAAATATAAATATATATATATATATATATATATATATATATATATATATATATATATTATCGTTATACTTTTATGTTTTAAGTATTAATCCAACTTGGATCAAATTTTAATAATTTAATATTATCGCCATCTTTATTTTGTGCTAAGTATCTATTTATTGACAATGTTGGTAATTTATTGTTTCATTCTTAAGTTTTATTAAAAGACTTGTGTCAATGCTAGAATATTTAAAAATTTGTTAATGCTTTAAATCTTCACGTAATTTTTGATGAACCTTTTTTAAATTAAAAATAAATTAAAAAATAAAGATGCAATAGTTCTTTCTGTGAACGTGTTTTTGTGTCTAATATCAAAGTGGAATTCCAATGACAGTTCTGGTTCAACATCTTTTCGTATGCACGATGCTAAAGGTAAAAACTATCCATCAATAAATACCCTTAGAATAATCTAACTGGAATCAAATTCTTAAATTTTAATTATGTCATGACTTATATAGAGTGTGAGTGATCGTTAATTTATTTAAATAATTTGCTATGATGCCTCACGATTAGCATATTTCTACGAAATATGAAAAGAGTCGACAAACGTAAGACGGGCTTATTGGTGGGGGTTTCGAAAATGTTTACTATCTATAGATTATATTTTTAACGTAAATTAATCGTAAAATTTATCACATTACTTATCCACTTTTAATACATTGATTTTTTTTTATAAAATGTATCCTTAGCCCATCGTGGCGTGAACGGCCGAAGACGTGGGCTAGCACTAACTCCCGGGTTCGATTCACACCTCGGCCAAGCTCCATATCAGGCAGCCCGATATCGAATTTTATGAGATTATACATGTCAAATATAATCTCAACTAAATCGCTTTTTCAGGGTATAGCTGCAATTTCGCATTTAGTAAGGTGCGGTCGCTTTCTAATAGCGATCAAAAATTAATATAATCGATTGTCTCAGTTAGACAGTCGATGCGTTGCCTTCTCAAAGCAGTGTCCAGGACAGTTCATAGCACACCTAATAAAGATGCTGTTAAATAAAGCCTAAAAAAGAAATAAATTTTTATGATATAATATGTGCATGACCATTATTATTCGACTGTATCTATATTATACGAGAAAATATAATCAAATTATACAAAAGTTTGTACAAAAAACCCTTTAAGATGCGGTTTTCTAGGTCCCGGACCAATAATGGGTCTTAAGCGTATTATGCGGGATAGGGACAATGTGTTTCAAAGTGCAGAGACCGGTGCCAGACGGCGTATTATACAAGAAATTGTATAAAGCATAATCTTCTCAACTAGGTTCCACGCATGTTCCACGGTATTTAAATACTTACTACTGATCACTTGATCAAATTTTGTAGATCTGTTTGGCGAATTTTTTTTTTTTTAGAATCACAAGAAAAAGCTCTCAATGTTGATCTAAAATTCAACCACTTCTCGTTTATGGACTTTTCTTGTTCTTGACTATTAAACAGCTATTGATTATGTCATTATCTTGTCGTAGAGTTTAGTTTGACAAAAGACTAAAACAAAGATGCGAGACGTATCCGAGACACACACACACGCATATATATATACATACATATATATATATATATATATACAGGGCCGGTCCTGGGGTCCTCAGCGCCCGCATGCGAAATTTGTTCTAGCGCCCCCCACCCCAATAATTTCAACTCTTTTATCAGTTTTTCATTAAAATTATATATACATTTACTTTATTTTTTTAAATAATTTTTTAATCATTCTGGATTTTTGTACACACACTTTAGTACACAAAAAATTAGATATAATCTAAAAGCGTATAAAATACATTGATTTTAAATTTATTTAGAAAATCGAGGCGATTCGCGGGTTGATCATAATCAAATATTAATTCTCAATTATTTCTAACGTAGGTGTAATATTAATATTTGGGTTTTGAAACATTTAACTTATATATTATGCGATTTATTCTATAGAGCAAATCACGTCAAAAGAGCAAAAAAAGAATAGTCTTTAATTTTTAAACATAGCATTTGTATTTAATGTTCTAAATTAAATTTTATTTTAATTTATTTTTGTCACTATTTACAATATCCAAAATTGCATCGTAAACTTCTCCTTATTGGTACCCTAAGGACCGAATTGTATTCAGCTTTACTTTCCCATCAGATTCGAAGTATCAGATTGTTGTTTTAAAGTTAAACTTTTAACGTATTTTCAAAGTATTGTCTAAATATTATTTAAAGATGCAAAGAAATTACATATTCCCTCAACTATACTGAAACAAATTATTATTGTATCTGTATGATTTCTGCATAGTTAATAATTAAATTATGTATAAAAAAAGCTTAAAGTTTTTTATTCCTAAGTACATTTTGCTTCCATTTTTCATATTTGCTCCATAAACCTAACCACGCATGTCTTCAACGTTCAAAGTTCATCAGATGTGAAACACTTACAACAAAAACAAAAGTTACAATTCAATTTTTCGGAATAAATAGAATAAAGCCATTTTTTAAGCACTAGCTCTCCATTTTCTCTATTATAATTAGTATATATTTCTTTAATAAGTTCAAGTTCCATTTCAACTAAATCAGCTCGCCATTTTTCACCATTAACGCCCAATAATTAATTTAACACTAAATATTTGATTGAACACTAAATATTTTATTTTTAGATTCCACGTTAACGAAGAAAGTTCCACGAAGAAAGAAGTTTAAAAGTACATTAAACCATAAGCAGAACAATAATTTACAAATTTGCAGAGTTATTATTTGGTTAATTGTTTCTATTGATATCATATATTATAGATTGATATTGCAAACTGAATATGCCTTTTCTGGCTCATAGTTAAGTTGGATTGTTTAATATAATCTATTAAGTATTCTAGATTTTATATTTAAAAAAAATATATAAATAATATATTATAAATTTCATTTCCGAACCTCGTTTTAGCGCCCCCTAAGGCATGCGCCCGCATTTTTTGCATGCATTGCATTCAAGGCAGGACCGGCCCTGTATATATATGTATATATATATATATATATATATAAATATATAAATATATATATATATATATATATATATATATGTTAAATTTTTATAATTTTGATGTTGAGATATGTGAGATTCAGTCTTCAGGGCAATACATCAATTAAAAACCTGTATGACTTTAAAACATTTTTATTTTTTCCATACGTTTCGACACATAGTTTTGTGTCATCTTCAGTGGACTATGTAATTGTAATAATCCTAATTATTTCATAATTATAATTGTTCACAATGCACAATGAAACCAATTCTTGTCACTTTATCTATCTATGTCATCTTTAACTATCTGTAATATCATTAATTATTATATCATTTAACATGGCGGGTTCAATCTTTGTCACGGCCAACCCCATAATATCGAGCAGTATAGTGATATCCGTTTTCACTTGGCAATAAATTAAAGTAGATCTAATATGCTACCAAGTGGAAACAGCCCTTCACGGGCATTGTTGCATTGAACTATGAATAATAATAAGACAGTCGGTCAGTGTAAAAGCTTTTTACACAATTTCAATTTAGTCTTTCTAAAAAGTTTCAGAAGTTTCAAATTGAAATTTGCCATGACATAGAAAGGGTTTGTGCGTATCTTTTATCCAAACTTAATGTAACATCATCTTTTTACTAAAATGTAAGTTATAAAATTATTTAATAAAGCCTTGGAATCAATTGTATCCTAAAATTATATTTTCTGAGTAAATTTTAAAACACAGCTTTATTTGCCGAGTCAAAAATTCTAAAGTAACTTATTTTATTATTGAATAATTAACTGGCCGAAGGGTAAGTTATAGTAACCACAAAAAAATCGAAAATGATATTTTTTGCATTACTTTACGTTTTAAAGATTTCTGAACATTTTGCCCCATACCTCAGAAAAAAATGGATGTATGTGCGTGTGGGTGTGTATGTTTGGATACATTTTTTTCGTCCAAGATTTCGGGCGCACGAATCAATCGATTTGAATGATTAAAAAAATATTGGTTTTCTATTGATGAGAGGACGTGTTGATTAGATTTTGGTGAAGACAGGCAGGTCTAGCCGTTTCGAAGATACGGGACAAAAAGTGCCAAAAACGTTTTTGAGAGAACGGAGTACCCGATTTGATTGATTCATATTATTTAATGAGTACAAATTTAGTTGGGTTCCTTACCAAGATTCTTAATTTTTGAAGTTCACCTATACGGTTCAAGCAAATTTCAAAACTTTTTTGTTCAAAATTTTCAAAAACATGCAAAGTTTTATACTTCAAATATGAATTTTAAAATTAAAATTCAGTTTGAAAATGTATATATTTCAAATACGTTATTCTAATCGTAAGAAATATATCCTCAGATGGATTCATTCGGCACCTGTTGCTAATGTTAACTTTCTCTAGTGCTTTGAGCGATAAGATCGTCACTGTTTATTTTATGAACGATAAAATATATGGTAATTATAATTATCTATTCGAAAATGTTGAAAACAATTGTTATTAAACATTGATCAATATTTATTGATTATTGATTTTTTTTCCGAATATTTAATTCTGGTACGGAAAGTTCCAGCAATTTGCTTTAAGGCACGATGCCATACACTACTAGTTTAATTTTAGATAGAATGGACGGGTGTGATGTTAGAAAGGCGAATAAAAATAAAGTACACAACGCGAATTACATAGAAAATTCATCAAATTGAACAAAAAACCAAAGTAGAGCCTTTTCACAAATTATTTTTGCAAAAATAGAGAATAGCAAGTTTTAAAACGCAGAACAATAAAAAAATAAATCATTCCCTATATCGTACACAAACAACAAACGAGCTCAACCCAATACATGCTTGATGATTTTGAAGACATTTGATGATGGTCTTCAAGGTCTTAACCAACATCAATCCAAAATATTATAGGACTACGAAAGTGATTTAACCATAAAAATTCATCAAGTGTGTTGAAAAGGTCCATGTAACTATTTCAAAATTTTTCATAACAATGTCAAAAGTTGCTATATCTCTATTCCTTTTGATTAAGTCTATGAACTGATTAGTGATTGATTTTGAATTTGTTAATTGAATAAATGGTGATTTATTATGTATTAATTGAATAAATTTGATTTTTGTATGTTAGTAATAATATGTATTATTTTTTTAAAAAAATATATTCACTTTGTTATATTCAATTTTTTCTTTGAAAAGTAGTATTTTTGCATACCTATTGTGAAATTATTGTTCATTACATGCTGCCATGAATTTGTGCCAGTTTTTAGAACTTGACCTTGACACCAAAATGAGCCATGGAAGAGGCGAATATAATATGTCTTTTTTTTTTAAAAAAAAATCAATGTAATTTGTGAAAAAAAAGTTCAATTGTCCAAGTGTGTGACAATTAACCAAAATTATTCATATTTCCTAAATATGTTTAGTAAACAAATATTTAGCATCTTGTTAACCAATACTATCTCTTCTTGAATAAATAACATATTTTATGAACAACAATTATACAATGTTAATCATTGATAACGAGTATTGCATGGTGATATATTATTTCTATTTGTTTAGAATCAACATTAAAAAAATCGTATCAAAATTAAAAAAAAATATTATTAATAACAAAAAAAAAATTGCAACCGATATATTCAATCCAATCTTAAGAATTGGTTAACAAACACACTATTTCCCATTTTTGCATTAAATTGGCAGGTTAAACATAAATTCCTTCACCAAGTTAATAAAACATTTTTTGTACTAAATATATATTTATACATATATTTATCTGATGTATTTGTTGGAATGCCAAATTTCATTTAAAAATATCAATTTATAAAAAATTCACATTAATAATACTCTTGTGAACAAGTATTCACACAAATCTTTTATTGTCTATTAGTTTTAAAAAATATATTAATTGGTCCACAAGCTTTTGTATTGTATTTTGTATTTTATTACAAAGAACAATCAAATGCACAAATTTTACTTGATATATTCCACTCAGTCACATATAACAAACTTTGTTGATAAAACGCTGACAGCATTCTGTTATTATAAATAGATTGAGTAAAAATGTTTTTATAACATTACAGTAAAAAAAATATATATAAAAAAGGTGAAAAATTCTTAAAAACTAGAAATGTAGTCCAACACTAAATTGAACTGTATGAGTAACATTACATCAAATGTTCATAATTGCTTTAATACAAAAATAAACCACAATCATACATTCTTGCACACTTTCTTATAGATAGACATTCACATCTTCTATTGGTGTGGATATGTGACATACGCATAAATGTGCATAATCTATATATTAGGAATATTGCCAAGTTCTTAATACTAAGATTATGAAAATTCTTAGAACACATTCTTTAGTGAAATTATAAATATTTTTGTCACAACGATATCATGCAATTTTTACATAATGCCGGAGAGCTAGCAACATTAGAAAATACAATTGCTATAAAATAGTAAAATTAAGGGATAAATAAATATATAAATATTACTAGGTCTTGCCAATAAACAACATCAAACTTGAAGGGGCATAGTGTAGAGGTTTAATTATTATATATAACAGAATAAGTAACCAATTATTATATTAGGTTACCATTGGGATGGGAAATTGATAAAATTGTTTTCAACTTATATTTTGCCAAAGATTGCTAGCTGACCAGACTAATACTTAAGCATTAAGATTTTATATGCCTATACTTTTGCATTATAATAGGCAGTTGACTAATTTTACAGAAGTAGTTCATCCACCATTTAAAATAATTGAAAAAATATTGTCTTATCACACAAACCACATTATTAAAATAATCCACAATCTTTAAGATGATTTTTTATTATGACATCAGTCACAGCATCGAAAACAAATTGAATGTTTCCGGTATCAGTTGCACATGTGAAATGAGTATAAATTTCTTTTTGGTCTTTTCGTTTGTTTAAATTTTCAAATTTCATTCGTATGTAATTTGCTGCTTCTTCATAAGTATTTGAACCTGAAAAAGAAATAGAAATTATAATTTATACAAAACATTCATGCAAATCAAATTGTATTTTAAAGAATTTTATATGGACCACAGTTTTCAAGTGTCATCTATAATAAAATATTAATAAATCTTTGGAATTGAAATGGAATCACCCATTCAAGCACATACAAATGTATATATATATATATATAACTTCAGTTCAACAAACCTGTGTATTCAGGAAAACATATGGAAAGAGGCGACCTTGTTATTTTCTCCCTGAATAAGTCTTTTTTATTGAGAAACAATATAATAGAAGTCTCCACAAACCATTTACTATTACAAATTGAATCAAATAATCTCATTGATTCAATCATTCGGTTCATTTCTTCATCTTCAGCCAGCACCAAATCATAAGCTAAATGACAATAAATTAAATTAATTACACTAATAAAATAAAATAATCAAGCTAAGGCTTTATAAAGGAGATATACCTGACAAGGCTACACAAAAAATAATTGCTGTAACTCCTTCAAAGCAGTGTATCCATTTCTTTCTTTCACTTCTTTGGCCGCCTACATCAAACATTCTGAAATAAAAAATTGATCAAAATCATAACTTTGTTGCATATAAACATAATATACACAATAGTTATTCTATTCATTAAATTCAATCTGAAGATTACAATTCAGGATGAAAGTTGAATATAGGTAAAGATATTTAAAGAATCGAGGATAATGTAGTCCAAGGCTAATCTTGTCCAAATACAAATTTTAATAAAATATGACTGCATTCAGCTTTGTGTTCTACACAAATATTTATTTTCTTAGTATCAAGCTTTGGATGTAAAATGGCTGTGATAAACCCTTACAAATATTTAGCAAGTATTACAAAAATTATCATATGTTAAATAATACAATTCTTACTTAAAATCAAGTCCTTTGAACGAAAAGTATGTTTCAACTATTCCTGTAGTTTTGACTCTAGTACGAAGAACATCTTGTTGTGAAGGTATATAATTTGGCAAGGATATTCGATCTAATGCATTCAAGTAATATGCAGCCGAATCATTTAATTGATATTCACGAGATCTTGCAAAACATTGTTGAACACCTGCATCTTGCCACAGATGTTTCATCAAAGTAACCATCTTTTCAGGTAGCAGTTCACCTTCATCTTCTGCGCTGGCATATGTAAAAAACTGTCGCGCCATATCCTGAAAACAATTTATAACTAAATCAGCATCAACAAAGATTTAAAAAAAAGCAAAAGAACTGCAAACAAATACCATAAATAACAGTTGCAAATGAAGAAACTGCAAATGATAAATATATAATTTTGTTTAAGAGCATACATATTCTATATACATGCAGATCATAAATAGTACTTGGAACAATGAAACAAATATAATAAAAAAGCAATATTGTTACTGCCAAATATTCTACATAATAAATTTGTGACTACATTAAGTGAGTCAAATCTATATAACTGATAGGCTATAAAAATCATTACCTCAAAAATAACAAATTTTCATAGTTTTATATAGAAATAGATTTATGGTCATAATAATAAATCAGGTTTAAAAATTATTAAAACTACTAGAGCTATTACAAATATTAGATAAACTAAAATTTACTTACTGTTTTATTGGGATCAGCAAAATCAATTCTTAACTGACCCATTGCCCTTATAATCGCCATCAAACTTTGTATTGTATTACTATAAACAACAGGACGATATTGCTCACATTCTTCTAACGAATATCCAGTCTCATGAATTATTTTCATTTGTTTCACAATGGTACTTTTACCAGACTCCCCAGCACCTAGTAGAAAAAATCATATTACATGATTTGCATAAATCATGACAAAAAACAAGAATTATTTTTCTAGTGGACATAAATGAGCCTTCCAGAATAAAGATTTTGAAATCTTGATGAGCATATTTCTTCAGATAAATGCTTTCTCAACATACTTTATTTAGTTCTCACAAATCATAACAAAACTACAATAAAAGATTGTAAAGTATTGTATAAAGAATCATTGTAAAAGTACATGAAAAACGTATTGTGATGAAACAAATTCAAATAAATTATCATATTATAGAACATGTAATAAAAAAAGTATTTTCTTCAATTCATTACTTCTATTAACTTATATTAACCCGAAGTACAAGTGCAGTAAATAATTTCAATGGTAAACTCATTTATAAATTAAAGTTTACAAATTATGTATTTCTTATAAAAAACAGCAGTTCCTAACAATGCTTAAATACAGAAGTATTAAGTGATTTTCACTTATTTTAGATACCTCATTATAAAATGTAAAGCCCAGACAGTAATATCATAATCGACAAATTGAGCTTACTAGCTGTTATTGTGTATATTAAATTAAAACAGGAGAAGTTGGCAGTTATTCACATTTAACCAAAGATTCCAAGACTTTACGTATTGATATGTTATGAGTCTTCAAGATAATTTTAGTTTTATATTCTTAAATAACTAACCAAATACAAATATTAACTTTAGGATGATAAATAGGATAAGTACATCCGATCTTTAAGATTAATGAAGTATAAAAATAAACACCATTTGTCTTGCGCTTCATTACAAATAGTTAAAGAAAAATAACAAAGAGAATAATAGACAAATATTTTTATATTTATTAACTATTTAGAGTTAAAAACTGAACTTGAGAACTAAAAATAAATCTATACACTAATATTATTGCACTAAAAGTTATTTTATTATACCTTCTTTTAAATAATAATTACCATAATTTGCTCACATATAAAGTTTATCTATTCTACAAAACATAACTTTTTTGTTGCAAATATCCAAATATTTGAAATTAAATGAAACCCTCATATTTCACCTATGTTTTGTGAAGAAAATAAGAATAATGAGATAACTAAATAGTATAATTGCTCATTAATTAAACTGTATAAGACACATCGATTATATATGTACATTTGAAAGAAAAGAGAAACAATTTTCGTAACGCATAATTATCTTATCGTGCCCTACTAGCGACTTATAAAAGTTAAGAGCAAAAAGTAATCACCTCAAAACTAATTAAACTACCTACGAATATTCATCTCATGAGTCAGACATTAAGAAAAGCTCAACAAATACCAAATGTAGAAAAGAACATATTTCAAATGCTTGAAACAGAACTAACCAAGTAACAATAACTTTCTTTCACTGGCTGCTTTTTCAGCTGCAGCTCTGAGCTGCCTGTCAATTTCATGAGAATGTTCTGTAGCTTTGCTATCGCCAATCGTACTCACAGCACAACCCATTTTCGTCAAAAATAAATAATAGAGAAACACTTGTTGATTTCACAATTTCCACCATTGACCACTGAACCACACGTACCTAACAAAACAACACAACCACTCCTACCGGCGTATTATCTATTATTCATCTGATGAAACTCTGTCGGGCGAGATACGAGATAGTATTCGATTCGATTGCGATATTGATATCGATATCGATATCGATATCGATGCCGAAACCAAAGACAACCAAATGCCGAACTATATCGAATCGTCCAATCGTCGATGCTCTTCTTTTATCTATGCGTCGATGGAAGTGCGCGACGAGCTAAAGGCGCGGATACACACGGAGCTAGACTAAAAATATTTATTAATAAATAATAATGAATTCATTATTATTAATTTTATAATCAAATAATGATTATTAACTTGGAAGTCTTCTAGCCAAATAATATGAATATGAAAAATCAATATGAAATAAATGTTTAATTGAACAACAGCAGAGAACAATTGTCTTTATTCAACACAAATAAAACAATTGATTCAATCTACAAAATTTAATTTTTAATTCAAATCATATAATTTATTTATCATTCATGTATATTTTTTATGTTATTAATCTCAATATCACAATTAAATCACGCAGTTTCAAATACTTTGTACAATTGTCATTGCACAATTTTGATAATAATTTAACTATTAATATAATATGTACTTAATAGTTTGATAATGAATTTAATATACTCTATTAATTGAATAATAAATAATGTGAGAATCATTAGTAAATACATAAAACTCATAAAATGCATATTTTGTAAATTTTATTTATTATTTTAATCTTTTTATTTCGCGAATAATTGATTTAAATTTTATTTAGATGCATTTTTATTTTAGTTTTTTTCTTTGGTTAATTTTGTTTGAGATAAAAAAAAGAATCTTATATTCTATCTGTCGCGTAAATTTGTTTGGCAAAATTAAAATCGCTCAATTAAAAATCTGTAAAAAAACAACATTATTGAAAATATGTTAGTATCATGACTCACGATATCAAAATGCAATCCCGACGCAAAAATTTTTGTAACACTAGTTTTCGATAAAAAAATATATAAAATCAAAAAAAAAAAAGTCACCGAATTCGCATAAATTTCCTTTTAACTGAATATTTCAAAATGACAACTAATTTAACCACATTTTCCGTAAATACTTAACTTGGATTATTTTGTTTTCAACACAGCAGCATCATGGATATAACAAAAGAGAGGATCGATTCCATAAATTCAGTGGAAACAGCTTATCTTAAAATTCATTCCGGCTGAATTTCAAACGGTAAGTATTTTTATATTCATTATTACTTAAAAACTATTTCAATAATGATCCATTTTTTATTTAATAAATATTTTGTTTGACGTTAAAAAAACAAATTTTTGATAATGACGGTCAAAAACTGTTTTGGTCTATATTTTGGTCTATTAAAAAGTATTTCATTTTTAAATTATATCCAGTACCATTCCTAGTAGTTCACTGGGATATGAAATAACGAAATAATTTAAAATGGCTAAAGTATGTATAACAAATAATTTTCATAAATATAAATTTGTGTGTATTTTTAATTAGCTAATGTTTATTATTTTTTCACACATTTGAGAGTCCTCTTATACTAGTGTGCATAGATAAAGGAAGAGTATAAACCTCTCATACTAGTGTGCAAAAATTATATAAATACTATTTGTTCATGTAATGTTAAATATTATATATGAATACTTTAAAATTGTTTTTAAATACTCAACTCATACCGTGTGATCATGAAACAATGTGTTCGCTTTATCTTTAATTTAATTTCGAACAGATATCACGTCGTTCTGGTACTGCAGTGAAGTTGCTTCTTAGTCACCCTAACTTGATAGAACTGGAGAGGTTATGACGTTTTTCAGTCATAATAATAAGTTGTCACAGAGATATTTGTATTTATTTACCTCATAAAATATGTTTTCATTTACAACTCACAATCAGGTAATCAAATACCATTCTAACCGTTCAAAAGGATTAGTAAAATATTACTTCTGTTCATTTTCAGATTTTATTCAACATAGGTACAAAGTCAGGTTCTAGAAGGACAAATAATGTACTAAAACCTTCTAAAGCAACTCAACATAAATTCAAAACGAGTTCCTTCTTAGTTAAATTATGGCAAAAAAAGATACAAGAATCTATACAAAGGGCTCTGTTAGGCTTAAAAAATGTGGCTGCCAGCACTATTTCTACTACTGATGTTGTTAACATGAAACTAATAAATCCAGACGAAATAGTTAATGACATCAGATCATTATTACACCCATGGCACCGGTCATACGTATCTAAACAAACATTCAATGAAAATAAAATGTGCTACACATTACATCAAGGGGACAATGTCAATAGTAGAACTACACTTAGTGATAAATTAAATCAATCCAGTTACTTAATAAATGATATAATGTTTAATTTTACTAAAAGATCTATAATTTCACATGGTATGCATGTACGATGCTTTAAGACAGAGCGGTCAGTTCAAGCTGAATCTCAAAGAAACCCATCAGTATCATCCCGCCTAAAGAAAGCTATGGGTAAGAACACAATGAGTTAAATTTTTAATGTATTGTGTTTATTTTAAGGTCTTTTATTTCTTTGAAGGTCTAGGTTCAAAATCAGATAATACCATCCAATCTGAAAACCTAACCAAGCTTTTACAATTAGAAGATGTTAATATGTCAAGTGACCAGGTAATTTTATAAACGGTGTAGTTAGTCTAAGTGTTTATCACACAGAACAATATTTGTTGAGTTCTATTCTTAAAGAATCTAACTAGAACTCTACTGTTTCACTTAAAATGACTATGTAGGCACGGGCCAGCTTGAGTGATGTGACTTGGTGATATAAATTCATAGAAGATGCATATTTCTGAGATAAAAATCAGGACAATATTCCTTGATATTTTTAAAAATCAAATTGTTGTATATAACACTAATACATAAACTATCTTAATTATCACACCACAAATGGAACTGAATAAATTCATAAAATTCACCACCTTTCAGAATGAGGTATATAGACTAATACCTCAAAATTGAATATTCGGAATGGATGCATGATTACTCATCTTTCTCACATTTTTTTGTTCATTGTCCAAAAATATCCAGTTAATTTTTCAAGTGTAGGATTACTCCAGCCCCAATGTTTCAAAATGATAATAAATTGATTTTTATAGATGCACATAAAACATAAAGCAGTGAGCAATTGCAACTGATACTTTCAAGTTATGGACCAACTGATTGTTATAATGTGCATAGACACTGAAAAATCTATGTGTGATATGGTGAAAATTTTGAACAAGACATATAATTGTCACAAATATATATTAAATTCTATTTAAGCACATCCCTTAGTGGGTTGTTCGATTAGATTTTTGAGAATGCTTAGTCATTGGGCATTGCATGCAGGGTAGTTTGTTCTGCACAAGAATTTTGATAATTCCGTTTTTTTTTCTTTTTTAATTCCTATATGAAAGTCAAAATGATTATTAAAAAAAATACTAATAATTTTGTTCTGTGTGATATAGTTGCAAAAATTTTGCATTTGTTAATTTTAATCTTAATGTTTTAACTTTAGAGGCATAAAATTAAAGTAGCCTTTGCTGAAGGATATCTGGCTGGTAGTGGTCCTGGTGGCCCAAATAAAACGAGTAAAACTAAAATGTATCTAAAGTTATTTCAACAACTATTGACGATTACAATTTTTTTAGCAATATTTGTTAGTTTGATGGCTAGTGCAACAGGCTCAGTATTTAGGTATCATTTGATCTACATTATATTCACTACAGAAATGACACTTGAATTAATAATTAGATTTTGAATTTATAGGATTCAGTTAGGAAACCAAGTTGAAGTTGACCCAGAAGATATACATGTTACATTTGATGATGTTAAAGGTGCAGATGACGCTAAACAAGAGCTAAAGGAAGTAGTATGTATCAAAAATATTTATTAAATGATTGCATAATGTTACTATTATTATATTCGTTTATTTGTAAGCTTTTCTTAAATAATCTAATGACATGCTGCTGGAATATTTACTAAAGAGTTTATTGAAAACTCTTTTTATAGAAAATACACTGAATATTTTCAGTGTTTGCAGTTTTCTTTTATGAATTTCATAAATTATAAATGAAATAATTTATAAATGAATCTATTAATATTTTTTTTTAACAATTTAAGGTTGAATTTTTGAAGAGCCCTGACAAATTCTCAACTTTGGGAGGAAAATTACCAAAAGGAGTGTTACTTGTTGGACCACCAGGCACAGGAAAAACATTATTGGCTCGTGCTGTAGCTGGTGAAGCAGGAGTACCATTCTTTCATGCAGCAGGCCCCGAATTTGATGAAGTTCTTGTTGGACAAGGAGCAAGAAGAGTTAGAGATTTATTTAGTAAGTAATAATTTCTGAATTTATTAAATGATGAAGATACTTTTTGAACCTTAGTATAATATAAAAATGTCTTGAAGATTGCTTTGAATAGGTCAACATTTTTTCGTAATGATGATATCAATTATACCTAACTGCATTTATTTTAGATATACCTTTTGTATACATTTATAGAAGCTGCCAAGGAGAGAGCTCCCTGTGTTATTTTTATAGATGAAATTGACTCAGTGGGAGCTAAACGTACGAATAGTGTTCTGCATCCTTACGCTAATCAAACTATCAATCAATTGCTGTCGGAAATGGATGGATTTCATCAAAATGAAGGTGTAATTGTGCTAGGTGCAACAAATAGACGAGATGACTTAGACCAAGCTCTTCTTAGACCAGGCCGATTTGATGTTGAGGTATAATAATAGTATTTCACTTAGTATATATTGGATTTTTTTTTAAACAATAATTTGATTTTTTTTATTTCAATATTCATTTCATTTATACTTGATTCTTCTCTTTTTTTAATTTCTATTTGCATTTTCATTTCTATTTGTAAATACTTACTTGTATTTGTTATGTATAATAATCTATATAACATATCTTGTCTGATAGTAAATATATAAATATTTATAAAGTTTCATATTTGATATGTATATTCTACCAAGATTTTATTTCTTAGGTTTCAGTTCCTACTCCAGATTACGTTGGCAGAAAAGA